TCCTAACTAGGTGTATGATACTTACAGACATTCTGTTTTCCGACCTTACTACACTCAGACCGGAGGTAGTGAGATTCCACAATAATTTGGCATAGATATGATTCCACCAATGTGACAAACTGGTTTCTGAAAATTACATGCAAAGTGGATTTTTTTCTTTTTCATATATTCAGATGCATTTTTTTTTTTCAACGTTTATTTATTTTTGGGACAGAGAGAGACAGAGCATGAACGGGGGAGGGGCAGAGAGAGAGGGAGACACAGAATCGGAAACAGGCTCCAGGCTCCGAGCCATCAGCCCAGAGCCCGACGCGGGGCTCGAACTCACGGACCGCGAGATCGTGACCTGGCTGAAGTCGGACGCTTAACCGACTGCGCCACCCAGGCGCCCCTATTCAGATGCATTTTTATTCCACTAGCGTAGTGTCGTGTTTAAAGGAATTGCATGTGAATCAGTTTGTAACATGAGTTCCTCAGAGATAAATGTCTTCATTACACTTACATGCTTCCTGTTGAAATTCATTTCTCCCTCCTTTACATTTCCGGCAAAATTTCCACATACATGAATGTGCCATCCCGCTAGTTCACACTCTCTCTGAATGTACCTCGACTATTTTTCACTTACATATCCCCTAGTAGAGTAGTTCTTAGTCCCAAGGGCACATCAGAATTTTCTTGGAGGTTCTTTAAAAAAATACCACGTGGGCCTGCACCCCACACCAAACCTACTGAATCAAGATGGGAGAATGGAGTGTACATTTAGAAAAGGTTCTCAGGTTATTCTGTTTATCTGACTTTTGGTTAAGAGCTGGAGAGCTCTGGTCAGCAGGGCTAAGAGGGGTGTTTGAGAAGTGACTAGTGGAGTGAATTCTTTTTTTTTTTTAATTTTATTTTTTAACATTTATTTATAATTAAGAGACAGAGTGCAGGCAGAGGAGGAGCAGAGAGAGAGGGAGACACAGAATCCGAAGCAGGCTCCAGGCTCCGAGCTGTCAGCACAGAGCCCGATGTGGGACTTGAACAGACAGTCAACCAACTGAGCCACCCAGGCGCCCCTGGAATGAATTCTTGTGCAATGTTTCCAAATCCTCCATACTTTTGAGGCTCCTCCATTCAAGGCATCCATCGTTCAGCATCCCTCATTCTTCTTGTCTATGCTTATATCTATCTCTCGTTCCTACCCTTGCCTATCTCTGCTTTCCACAGCTGTTATTATTCCAAAGAATACTCCTCTCCATTTTATCCTGCCCCGTTTCCTGTAGAGAGAAACTGTGAACTACTTTACTGTAGGGGCTATCTTGAATTTCCTTTTATCATCTTCTTCCACCATCCCAAGCCCTCCAGATCACATATTTTATTTCCTTTCTAAGCGCATCATGGCCTAAAATTATTTTATGTATGGTCCCCTTGCTTATTATATGTTTCCCCTTAATAGAATGCAAGGTCCTTAAAAATGAAGACATTATGACTTATTCAAAGTTTTATCCCCAGTGCCTAGAAGAGGACCTAGTTCTCAAAATGTATTTGATGAGTAAATGAACTACCTAGAGCATTCGTTTCTTGTGTGTTTAAATGCAGTTAATTGTATGTTACATTTGCCTAGTTCCTACTGTATCAAACAGTCTGCTGCCTTCCGTCCCATCTGCTAGTTACTGCTCTGCAAAAGCCATCATGTTAAGGTTTTAAAGGGCCAAGTACTTTTATTTTACTAGTACGTCAAGGTACCCAACAAATCAAATTCATGGAAGGCCTGTTTTTGAAGAAACTAGAAATTATATATTCTTTAGCATGGATAAATTCGAAGGTGAAGAGTAGAAAATTACAGACATCTAAATGGAGCCAATGCATTTGTTAATAATATAGGGAATGTTACTTATACATGAGAGAATTTCTTAATTTTAGTTGAGGGTTTCATGGGTTGACTCAGACCTGGCCCTCTCTATAAAAACTCAAGATCAATTATATGAACAAACACATGATTATTCTTGGGTTCTATAGCACACCTTTTAGCAGAGTCAAAGTGAGTTTGTTTCTATTATACATTTAAAATATTATCAGGATCCGGATACCAGACTTCAAAGTGAGTGGCTGGCTGGGAGCACTGGCCCACAGAGCTGCCTTTAGCCTCCTAGTAGGTGTGGGAACCATCAATTGTTCAAGATAAAGAAGAGTAGCTACTTGAATTCTACTTGAATTTCTTGAAGTTGTTCCTCCCTGTCTCTGCTTAGCATGCAGAATGTAGAGTATCCAACATGACATGGGGAAGGTTTCCCTCTCATGTGCAAATTCCAGAATGCTGTGAGTCATCAGGGGTGCTACACTGTGATGCAACCATTATGACGCCCCATGGTACCCGATGATGAACCATAAAATGTTCAAAATGGTTAGAGTTAATGGGAAGTAGGTACAAAGTTCATGGGCTTGAAAATACTGAAGATTATTTCACTTCCTCTGTGAGTAGCTCCATTTATAAGAGTCACTTGGTTCTTCAATGTGGTTAATAGAATGTACCTATCATAATGCCAAGGCTAATAATAATAGTTGCCATGTACTGAGCACTCCGCATTTGCCAGGTTTTGTGTTGCTTGCATAGGTTATCTTATCTCATTTGATCTGCTTAACAGCAGATCGGTAGCTTTATTTCTATTTTCAGATGAGGAACCCGAGTCTTTCAAATATTAGGTGGTTTAGTTTGTGGTGGAATTTGTACATGATTACCCAACTGGTGTGGATTTACAGCTCATACTAAGCACTAGCAATCTGCCCCTATAATTCTATGTTCCATCCCATACCAACGGAAATCGTCACCCTCCACATTTCCAGTTGTAAAAAGACTAAGCAATTTCCGGTGTAAAGAACTCACTTCCCTTCAAAGTGAACCATTTCTGATGACGCATGCACACAACTTGCCTTCCTCTCTCACTTGAGAAGAAAGAGTAAGGTAAAGGGAACAATGGGACCAGAACAAAAGCGAAGCCTGAGAGGAGAGCAGCGCCACAGTCTGAACTCTAAACAAAATCCCTGCCATCTTTTGAAATCTGCGGGCAAGGCTGTGAATCTGTCTGAATCAGAATCTTCTCCTCCAGCCACAAAGATGACGGTGCAAGTCCCTGCTTCACCCTGGGATGGGCAGTGCCGTCTTCCTGGTCTTTTTTTTCCATTTTGGGGCATACTGTGTCAGAGGTGTTCTTTCCATTTAAGCTTTCTGCTGGTAAGGACATTAAGCGGGGGAGCAAAACTAAACTGCATCCTTGTTTTCCATGGCAGTCCAAATCCTTCTTATCATCTGACATAACAGAATTACTTTTCCGGCCCGCACTACACTGAGCTTCTGGAGAGCAGGGAACGGTGATCAGTTAATCGCTCTCTTTACTGCCTCCACCCCACCCCACCCCCCCACATAAAAAAATAAAACAAGCAGATGACAACAAATATACTCTCAGCAAATGTTGACTTGAAGGGAAGGCATGAGTCACGACTGTTTATTTCATCCTGCTAAATGTATGGTATTATTTAGCCCACGACCTCCATATGCCATTAAAAAGTAACTAGCTTTACAAAAGTTTCCCAGAATTAGGATAGATGTACTGTGATCCACACTCCAAAAAGGGCTGTTGCACTGGAAGAGATACGTATCTTTAAGACAAGGAACCAGTTAGAGAGAGGGAGAATGATGCTTTCTTTTTTTTCTTCAAGTCAAGGAAAATCCAGTTCTGGAGCTGTGTCTCCATCAAAGTTAGTCGAATTGAGCAGCAACCATCCTCTTCATTTTTCCTTCTTGTTGGGATTAACTGCCCTACCAGACTCTAACTGGGCTTCCTCAAAGCCGGTGGTTTTATCCCGGGATTTGTGGTGCACAGACTTGCGCACCCCCTTCATTTAAACGTCAATACCCTCCCAGCAGGGGTTATTCCTTAGGACCAAGTATTGTTCTTCCCAGAAGCTCTCTTTCCAAAGATCGGTTTACTCCAAATTCCTTTATCAGAGTGGAGAGAGATTTTAGAGTCAGAGGACCTTAAATCCATCTGGTTTCTGCCATAACCAGGGGTGTCAAGTCCTCCTTGTAAAACAGGGAAAAATGATTCTTAACCAGCAAGGTTACTGACTGAGACGGTGCAGGTCATCTTTTAAGCGGTTATAGTTCGGCAATGATAGATGGTCAATAAATCCTCATTTTGATAAGGACCTTGGGACACAGACAAATGGGAGGAGAGACGATTTGAAATTCTGGCCGCTTTCCAGCAGTGGGGAAGAAAGGGCTCGCGGTCCGGATAAGGGCCCATCATAAATAAAGCCGCTCCTCATTAGGGGGCGCTCTCTCTAGCCGTTTCACGAACTTCATAATCCCTGTTAAAGGACATCAGCCTCTCCTTGCTAAGTCACTCTTGGTCTTAAAGTACTTCTACATCTTAATAGGGAACTCTTCTAATCAATCCCTGTCACTTGTAGTATTAAGACCAACCAAAGTCTACACGGAGGTTCTTCAGGTGGTTTGAGAAAGTGGGACTTTTGACTGTCAGCTACCAGCTCTCCAACTCTACTCCCACCGTCGAATGTGGAGCGGGCGTGTTCTCAGCTCGCAGCTAGGGTTTAATTTCCATTTCCTCCCGGTGGCTCTCCACGCTCCGGGGAGGTGGGGCGCCTGCCATCCGCGTGTGGTTTTGGGGTAGTAACCTCTTGTGGCGCAGCCGCCCTCCTCCACCCACAGCGGAGGCCGTGACGTCACGGGCCTGGCCCGGGTCCCCGCCCGGCCTATAAAGCCGCAGGTGCGCGCCGCGCCTCCGGAATGTTCGGACACCTTTTGCCCGCGCCCGAGTCGGAACCGAGGGATCCCGGAGGCGAGCTGTAGGCGCTCGTCCAGCGCCCGAGCCCGGCCGGGCGGCGAGCACGGCCGCACACTCCCTCCTGTCCGCTCTCTCTTCCACCACCTCCTGTTCCAGCCGCGACTCCCGGCCGAGTTGCCCCAGAGACCGCGACGCCGCCGCCGCGCCGAGGGACCAATGAGAGCCCCGCTGCTGTCGCCGGCGCCCGTGGTGCTGTCGCTCCTGATCCTGGGCTCAGGTGAGGGCATCCCGGCTCCGAACTGCCGGCCTGCGCTTCTCCCACGGCGGGAGGCGTCCACGGCAGCGCCCTCCCCAAGGTTACTGCCGGGGAGGAGGAGAAACGCGGGCAGGTGCCTCTGACGTCCCAGGTCAGGAAGAGGGTGCCGGAGAGTTCCCGAATTTTTTACTTTAGTCCAGCTGGAGGAGACCTCAGAGATCCTGTGCTCCAAATTCTGCCTTTTATAGAAAAAGAAACCGAGTCCAGAAAGGTGAAGCGATTTCCGCAGATCTTAGAGTAGTTAAGTCCTGGACGTGGAGCGCTGACTCCTGCCTAAAATCTCCATCTCCTCTGTCTAGTGATTGTACCTTTACCTTCCTAGAGGCCCTCCCAGGGAGAAGTAAAAGCACCGCCCTGTTGCTCCTTTAGTGAGACCTATAAGATAAACCAGGGGCCTGAAACTTTAGGCCCCCAAATCTCACCTGGGCCCCCCCCAGGTTCTTCCCTAGGTAGGAACAAGAATAATGAAACAATGACAGGAAGAGTCCTTACTATCAAATAACATTTATGTTGTTTTACAGTTATGTATGTCACCTTTTTAAAAATATGAACACGTGTTAAGAGAGTCTGATATTTATATCTAGAACCCATCCGTTCAAATGGGTCATTCTAGCAAACACAAACGCATTTGGCGTGTGAAGTGATGGGACTCTACAGACATTACCTGTTCAGTAATTAGACGAACTTGCCTATTTGGCAGCATTATTTGGTGTGGAAGGTGATGGAGACCGTCTGTGGAAAAGAAAACCTCGATGAAAGCAGCTCTGTAAATTGGAGCAGCTGAGTTTGCTTGTTGGCAGAATGTGAAGATGCTTTCATAAGTGACTCAATCCCAAACAATAGCACATGTGCAATAACAGCTTTGATATCAGAAGATAAACATTTCTCCTGAACCCAGCTGACTGGTGAGAAAGGCACTCACTCTGCTCTACCTTTTCTTTTCGCCCGTTGTTCTTTCTCCCACAGCCCATTATGCTGCTGGATCAGCTGCCAACGACACCTCCTCTGGGAAAGGGGAACCATTTTCTGGGGGCCACAGTGCCGATGGATTTGAGGTTACCCCAAGAAATGGGTCCTCCGGAAGGGAGATTTCCCCTGTGAGTGAAACGCCTTCTAGTAGGGAACTGTCCTCGGGGATCGACTATGATTATGCAGAAGAGTATGATAACGAACCACAAATATCTGGCTATATTGTAGATGATTCAGTCCGAGGTGAGTGGAGGATAAGGCGAAAACATAGCCTAGAAGATGTGTGTGTGTATGGGCAAAGCTGCTTCAAAAGAAGAGCCATTCCCTGGCTCTCGGAGTGGTTTTCTTGCGTGTACATGTGCTGCATATGCCTTGGGGAAGCTACCACCGGAGATGGAAAGAGCTGTGTGTGGGTACATCTGATATGTCTGGAGCTCTAAAAATGGTCAATGTCCATTAAGTCTACTTTACAAGTAGGAATTGTTAGCATTTTACAAAGATGATAACTGGAGAAGGTGGTTTTGCCCAAGCTTCCACGGCCAGCAAGCAGTTGAGCCAGGATGAGAACTCCAGTGTTTGATGGTGATCCGATGCTCTTTCCCATTGGGCCACACAGCCTCCATGCTGAGAGACAGACATAGACATCAACCAGTCGTCAGCTTCTGTGTCTACTCCCCATACAAAAATTCCCTAAACACCTGCATTTTAACACAAATAAGGGAACAGAACAAAGTAGTGGGGAAGGACTTTAGTGGGGTTGGACTTTAGCTTTTAAGTACCCCAGGTGTTGAAAAACAAGTGTTTCTAAAACATGACAAGAATAATAATATAACCTTCTGGAAATATTAAAGAACAACTATGCATGGATTTCAGATTGCCAAAAATCATGATTTAGCCCCAGATTCCATGTGTTAGTTAAATAATAGTGACCCATAGTTTTGTTCCCTTTTGCTGTTATCTGATCTTTAAAAAAGAGCATCTGCTTAAAATGAGAGTACCAAAGTACGAGGTTAAGTATTGTTCATTACCCTCATATTACTTTGGAGTTTCAGGACAGTTGAGGTCATCACTAAATCTAAATATCCTAGAGACATCCAATATGGAGGCAGAACATAATGCCCCGTCTCTCCTGACCTTAGTTTCCCTGACTTCTCCCCCTCTGTCTGCCTTGCAGACCTGGTGAAGGGACAGCAGGTGATATACCACAGGGAGAGTGACTGGGTTAAGCAACAAGTGGAAAAAGCTTTAGGGAACACCCGACTTTACTGCTTGTTCAATAACTTGTGCTTTTATGTGAGGTGGGGAAGAGGTTCATTTATATTTCTTTTTGGAAGGATAAGAGGAGAAACTGTTCTCTTAAAGATGTTTCAAGTCGTTAACGTTTCAAACGGCCAAATAAACTGTTAGCAGTGAAACTGACTAGTGCCTTGTGAAATACAGGGAAACTGATGGGTGAGCTCCTTTGAAAGGCTGTTGAACCCCTGGGGTTGCTGTCTGTTGCAGCACTTCAGCGTGGTGACGATTTGTCTCTGTCTACAATTTGCAATGTATCTGATAACATGCAGTAATACTCATTTAAAGTGTTTTCTTTTAGAGGACTTATTCTAATTTGTGTTGCTTATTTATCACCAAATTTTCAATATAAAAATTGCATAACCGGTTAAGCATTGCTCCTAATTTGACTATTATTAATGTCATAATAACCTGCTAAAATCCTCAGATATTTATTTGTCGCCTCCTTGATCACAGGGTTCTATCTCTGATACCCTTCCCTATATTTCTAATGTTTTCTATTTAATGGGACATTGTGCAGGACCATTATGACTAATGGTATTATGACATTATGGTATCTTCCTCTTTTCACTGGGCTCTGTTTGCTAAATACTTGCTTAGATAAGCCTATTCAGGTACTAGTATAACAAAACACAGAGCTCCAACATGAACACTCCTCCCTCCCATATTTAGTATGTGGGAAAACTATGCCTTGTATAGCAATAACACTGAACGAATGTTTCTGTAGATCAAAAGAGTTAAGATGACTGACTCTCAGAAGTATCAGGTACAAATATTTCTAGATTCCTATTTTTCGAATAGATTGACCACAGAAATGAGCCCCATGGAATGAATAATTATAATCTGTCGTAATCTGGGAGTTGGAGAAAATTGATTAATTCTAATATATAATTCTCCGTTTTTTCCATCTTCAAGTAATACACAGTAATTCCCAACTATGATAATGAGCACAAGACCGAGATGCATATATAAAATCAATAGATACACTAAAGCACCAGTTTAGTCCGTAACCTTGACCTATCCAAGAGAAAACATAGGACAGGGGGGAATGACAGGTTTTGATACCCCAGCATTGTCATTCTCTAGCTGCATGTCCCAGGGCATATAACTTGTCTTCATTCAACTTCAGTTTCCTCATCTATAGCATCTGGATAACAATACACTCAACCGTGATCTGAGTTTAATCAAATTAATGCTCCTTAACAAGAACTTGGTATGTATAAGAAATTCAAGAAATGTGCAAGATATTTCCTCATTTGTTTTAGACAGGTACATACTATTAACAATAGTAATAATACTGGTACAAATAAATTCAAAATATGTTTCTAAGCTTATAAAATAACAAGGAGGTTCAGATTTTCAAGCGCCACACCATTCAGATATTCTCTTTAACCAGTTATTATATATGAATTTGGGTTAAATAATGAGAAAAATAGGGTTATCATGCCCATGAGCTCTCACTGCTAGGACTTCTTTCTCCATGTCTCCAAAATGATATGCAAGATGAAGAGAGACTGCTGTCAATAAATCGTATGTATTTTTTTTTTCAGTTGAACAGGTAGTTAAGCCCATGAAAAACAAGACAGAAAGTGAAAAGACTTCAGATAAACCCAAAAGAAAGAAAAAAGGAGGCAAAAATGGAAAAAATAGAAAAAACAGAAAGAAGAAAAATCCGTGTGATGCAGAATTCCAAAATTTCTGTATTCATGGAGAATGCAAATATATAGAGAACCTGGGAGCAGTAACATGCAAGTAAGTTTTCCTAAATTAAAAAGAAATCTATTTATAACACTAGGTCTGAAACTCCTAGATGCAGAAAACCATTTATTTCTCTAGTGTCAAGGGTCTGCAAACATTTTCTTTTCTTTTTTTTTTTTAATGTTTATTTATTTTTGACAGAGATAGAGAGAGAGACAGAGCATGAGTGGGGGAGGGGCAGAGAGAGAGGGAGACACAGAATCCGAAGCAGGCTCCAGGCTCCGAGCTGTCAGCACAGAGCCCGATGTGAGGCTCGAACCCACGAACTGCGAGATCATGTCCTGAGCTGAAGTCGGATGCTCAACCGACTGAGGCACCCAGGTGCCCCCGTGAACTTTTTCTTAAAGGACCAGGCTGGCAAATAATTTAGGCTTCTTTGGTCGAGGTTATGTATGTACTTCCAACTAAAATGTAACCATTTAAAAATGTAAAATCATTTTAAAGTGTAATAACCATCCTTGGCTTACACACTGTAAAAAAAAACCTGACGAATGGCCAGATTTGATCCACTGGCTACAGTTTGCTGACCCCCGGTTTTATAATATACGAAACAAACCATGTAAAAATATACCAAAGGTTTGCAAAATTTTTTTTTTAAAAAAAAGGACCTAAAGGTACTCTTCACATAATGCTCTATACTCCCTCCTCTCAAAAGCTACTGACACATTAAATGATAGTGGTATGTATTAGCTGTATCACAAGTGACAGAACTCATCAGGTGGTCATACAAGGAGCACAAAGAATGAAAAGGTGTGTCTTCTTGGAATATCACACCCAAACTAATCTCAACTTGTTCTTACACTAATAGATCTTTGGCTTGAATGCATTCTGTCTCCTGATTTTGAAATACAAATAGATGGCATGGCTTTTTTTTTTTTTTTTTTTTTTTTTTTTTTTTTTTTTTTTTTTGATGTTACAATTAAATGCTAAAATAGAGAGAATGCTTTCAGTTATTGTTATAATTTTTGGATGTGGGTTGTTTCCAGATGTCATCACGATTACTTTGGTGAACGGTGTGGGGAAAAGTCCATGAAGACTCACAGCATGGTTGACAGTGATTTATCAAAAATCGCTTTAGCCGCCATAGCTGCCTTTGTGTCTGCCGTGAGCTTCACAGCGATTGCTGTGGTTATCACAACCCAGTAAGTACGGCATAACTTAAAGATTCCTAATAAAATAATGCCGGGTTGGTTTATTTTCAGTATGCTGTCACAAAGTACTGTATCCCATTTTAGATGAATTATTCTATTGGTGACATGTGATCCTTGGTCATAGCTTTACACTTCACTGACAAAGATCATAGAATTAGGTCAAAATATATATTACTTCGGCCACCATTGAAACTTCATATGTAAAGCTATTTTTCAAAAAGCTTAGAAGTATTTTGAACTTAAAAGCAGATGGTTGTGTTTCATGTCTTGTTTCCACTCATGGCTACTTCCTAATCTCAGACTGTTGATAGCCACTGTGAATATCTTTAAGCTTAAGGAAGCTTCCCAGAGTCTAATGAAAGCCTGGTTCTGGTTCACAGTAGGTTGTCAGAGATCCTGCTTTGGCACGAAAACTCACAAAGAGCTTCAAACCAGGAGCCCAGAAAAGATACATCTGTTTCTGTTAAAACGCAGAATTTGGAGTTAGAAATGTCCTAGCACGGTACTGATTTACATAGAACGTGCGCCTATTTGTAATTGTTAAAGGTAATATGGGAACTCAATTATGAAAGAAGAAAGAGGGAAAGAAAGAAGGAGAAAGAAAGGAAGAAAGAGAAAGAGAAGAAAGAAAGGAAAGAAAGAAAAATTTCCTCCAGAGGGGCAGGGCGTAGGAAGCAGGGACAATTCTGTTACTGTTCTACTCCTGCAGTATCTGCCCTGTGCTCATAATAACATCATCACACTTCATGACCAACGAATGTTAGAAGTAGACTGTTCCTGGTAGTAGGCACTGGTGGGTATGTCAAAATGGCATTGTCTGTCAAACAGAAGTCAGTGACTTAAGGAAGTTGGGGGAGGGCGTGAATGGCTCTATAATGACTCATGTGCTACTAGAGCTTGGGAAAAGCAATAGACTCATTATTCTAATTTTAGGCCTTGGTAAATTACTTTAACAACTGGACTGTGTGCATGATCTACCACTCCTGCCATTCAGGAAACAAGGAGTTATCTTCTGCCATTGTTTACTATTATTTAAGATGCAGATTAGATAATGACAAAAAGACACATAAAAAAAACTGTTTTATGATGCACATAGAGTTTGATGTGTGATTTCATTTTGTTTTGCACACCCTGGAAATTATTTTGATCTGTTAGCACCTCAAGCCAGATATGCAAACGTGTTCAGGAAAAATATTCTCAGACGAATCATTATTGTTTGACATAGAAGGATAGAAGGGAAAAAATAGCCAGATAGGAAAGATGTTCTGAAATAATTATTTAAACTTGGATCGTTCAGGTTGAAATATTTAATAATCCTTTGGAAAAGTGTGGAAAGACTTTTGTCACGTTGGCACTCCTAAAACCAAGCAGTGACTTTTCTCCTTTTCTCCCATATTCTTGTGTTTGGAACATATAGCAAACACTAGCCCAAGCCACATTTTGCTGTTTTTCCATAGTTGAATTTTTTTCCCAAACATCACGTCAAAGTTTTTGTGATTTTAGTAGGAACATTTAGTGGGTGGACTAAAGACCTACCAAAAATAGAATTTCTTGTACAGCACCAAGACTGTTTTAAACAATTGAATTTTAACAGAAAGTAACAATAAATAAAACTAAAAGGAAGTATTTATTATATTTAGAAATCAAGAGAACCCAACTTGTTTGGAAAAACTCTAACCATTTCAATTAGTTTGTACAAGTGTAAAGTCCTTTCGTGGTAAAACTACACCATCTTTTTCCTCCTCCAGTTAACACATGGCAACTGTGCTAAGTGTTGATGAAAAAAGAATGAGATCTTGCCATTCGAAACAACGTGAATGGACTTAGGGGTATAATGCTGAGTGAAAGTCAGACAAAGACAAATTGATTTCACAAAGAAAGACAAAATCATTTCACTTACGTGCGGAATCTGAAAAACCAAACAAATGAATAAACAAACAAAAAGCAGAAATAGACCCATAAATACAGACAGCAAACTGGTGGTTGCCAGAGGGGAAGGAGTGGGGACATGGGCAAAATGGGTGAAGGGGAGTGGGAGATACAGGCTTGCAGCTATGGGATGAATAAGTCATGGGAATGAAAGGCACAGTATAGGGAATATAGTCCCTATTGTAATAGTGTTGCATGGTGACAGATGGTAGCTACAATTGTGGGGAGACTAGCATAATGTATAGACTTGTCGAATCATTATGTTATACCTCTGAAACTAACCTGATATCATGTGTCAGCCATTAAAAAAACAAAACAAAACAAAACAAAACAAAACACATACAACGTGTTCCATGCCTTTTGAAAGTTTGTGTCTCAGGGCATATCTACTTAAATCCCAGTACTCTGGGAATATGTTTATATAAAGTCACCATGAACATCCCCTTAAAAAGAACAGTTATAAAATATTCTAGAGCTGGGTTTAAGTTTTGGTTTGGTGTAGAATACAGTGTAATGGTCCATGAGGACTCGCAGAAAGGAACTCCCTGTACTCACGAAAACCCCAGTCAATACGGAGATGAATAGAACTTTGATGACCATAGAATATCTTGTTCTCTGAAGGCTTCGAAAACGATACTTCAGGGAATATGAAGGAGAAGCTGAAGAACGAAAGAAACTTCGTCAAGAAAATGGAAATGTACATGCCATAGCATAACGGAAGGTAATGAATGGTACAGGTTTGGGTTTTAAAAATCATATCCTATAATTTTGAAAAATACAGCATTTGTTATCTCAAGAAAAGTGAGGAAAGTAAGTGTCCTCAATTATGGATACACTGTGAACATTGGCTACATGAAAGCCTTAGTTTTTGAGCATGAGATAGGTTCAATAGTGAGAAAAGACTATGTCCTAGTATCATAACAGATGTAAAGATGAGGTAGACACAGATCCTCTTTTCAACGCAGTTAGTGTTTAGTAGATAGAATATAGTGTAAGGAACCAGAATGCTAGGGCCAGTAAATTATGTCATATGAAAGAAATATGAAGAGTTTCCAGTGAAGGAGAGAAAGTGCCATGGGATGTGTGTAGGGAGCAGGACAGGACGCTATATGTAGGCATTGGAAGTGAGCCTCTAAAGACTGATGAGATTGGGACAAGCAATTATGAAGGGAGAGGAAGATTCATACTGTGAGATGGACGAGGTCACCTGAGAAACTTGTGAAAAATGGCCTAATTCAGATGGGTGTTGGAGAGAAGGTTGGAATGATAGGTTGAACTCATATGGTGGAGAGCCAAGGCAGGGTGCGTGACCACAAACATGAGACAGTGGCGGGAACAGGATGAATATCCTTTTAAAGAAAGGAAGTCAGAAGGGGGCAGAGGGTACAAATTTGAAATATACCTTGGTTAAGATATATTATAGTTCTTGTTTATAAGTTGTTGTGGTTTTTTTTTTTTTTTTTTTTTTTTTTTTTTTTTTTTTTTTTTGGAAAGAGGCAGAGTTTAGCATGTTGTAGGAAAGGTAAGGAGCTATAGAGAGGAATGTTTTATTAATAGCTAAAGTGGACAGCTGAGGAAGCAAACTTCCAGAGAAAGAGCAGGCGAAGAGATCAAGGACACATTTAAAATTGGTCAGAAGGAAGAACTCCATTTCCTCAGACATTCAGGAAGGATGTCACATCCTTAAACCATCGATACTCAACCTTCATGGGCTTAAGAATCACTTGAGATGCCATTTAGATGTGCATATTCCTAAACCAAAGCCTAAATCTACTAAATCCAGTATTTCCCTTTCTAGTGAACACTGCAGATGCATGGAGAAGCACTGTTTCGCATTGGTTAAGCACAAGTATTATGTTCTGAGCCTATTACCGAATTAGTATGCTAGCTCAGTAACTCATGAAGTGGCTGATTATCTATGCCAACCAAGGCTGTATTCAGTACTTAGCGCAGCAGAATTTATTATTGTGTTGGTCTTAAGCTAAGACCACCAACATGAATAAAGGGAGCTTTTTGGTCCTTTAGTGCAACTGAGATCTCTCAAAGGAGGTCTGAAATGATTTTTGGAAAAGGAATATGCTGGCCTGGCACGTAGTGGCAGCTATTAACTGGTAGCTACTGTTATTATGCCCTTGGTACTAATTATCCCAAATTAACTGTATATCACAAATATACTATGCCACTTCATCTTTCTTTTTAATTATGTCCACTGCACAGATTTGGTTAGGAAAACTAATTCCCATGAGTGTTGTTGTTTTTCATCAAGCAGAATTTGATGAAACAGGCTTCAGTGTATGTAATCCTCCACCTAAGTGGGCCCATAACCAAAGCAGGTGTGAAAGAGGAATTCAAGTCCAAGTGATAGTCTGTCTCTGCAAAGCTCTTAGCATTTTTCACAACACATTCTAAATGGACAGAAATTCTGATTCCTGATTTTTTTTTGGGTGTTTTCTTAAAGCCCTAATGAAATAGAGCTTCTCTCTAATATTTTATTGTATTTTTGAAACAGGGTATCGGATCGGAGTCACTGCCAAGTCACAACCACGAGTGATGAGCTGGCTCCTCTTTTCGGTGGATCATAAGAAAACAGAACCTTTTCGTTCTGATGGTTTTAAACTTTCAATTGCCACTTTTTATGCTAAGTCTTATTTCTGTACATAAAGATGCATGGAGATAAAAAGTATTTTTTCAAGTTGTAAATAATTTATTTAATATTTAATGGAAGTGTATTTATTTTACAGCTTATTAAACTTTTTTAAGCAAAGAGATTGAGAGTTTGAATATTAGTTTTGAGACTGCAAGGCTGTAGGGTATTTTTCTAACACTTAGGCGATCATTTCGAAAGCTCCTTCCGTTGTAACCTTCAAAACTTACTTCTTTTCTTAGAAAGCACTCTTCATGGAAAAATTAACTAGAGTCATTTAGTCCTCCTACAAATACTAATATCTTAAACCAGCCTTTCTTATTCTGTGTAGAACTTACTCCAAGTCCTGGTCATTTAAAAACTTATAAAATCAACATGTAGTCCTCCCTCTCTGTCACAGTAGACACAGATATTAGAAAAGAAAGAAAATCCACTGCCCGACCATGATCATCATCACAGACAAGAATAAGTGTCAAGATTACAAATGAGGCACTTCAAAAGAATCAGGACATATTAAGAGACCTTCTTTCTCTAATATCATGACATGAATCTATAAAGCACTAACACCCATTCCTCCTTTTCCTCCCATGGCTACTATTTTTTTTTTTTTTTAATTTTAAACAAATACATGTGCATTTGTGGTGAGTGCTCCTTCAAGAACATGAATTCCTTGGAATGACCCAGACTTTGGTTCCTGACTGGCCAACTAAGTCACCTGCACACAAAGCAAAATGAACCAACCTTTATAATGTACGGGGCACATTTTGAGGAACTTTGTATAATTCCAGCAATCATCCCACAGAAATTCATGAATGAAAGGTGCCTAGAGCAGAAACACTTTCATTTCTCTCTAGAGAATTTCTTTCCAAATCCTTGTCCACTGATCACCTAACCCACTGGTTCCCAGCTCAACCTGCGCATTATCACATGAGTTTTGGATGTCTCAATGCCCAGGCCCCCGTCCCAGAGTTTCCTATTTAAATGGACTGGTGTGGGTCATTGATAGCTGTATTTTTAAAAGTTCTCCAGATGTTTCCTATATTCAGCCAGTGTTGAGAACCTCTGATTCATCTCTGCTTGAACATCTTCAGGACACATTTTCCTCAACCTCATTCATGAAAGACTATGGATGATTCAAGTATAGTGCTACAGATACAAGACGGAAAAGCCCTGACTTTGAGACATTTGCCAGCCAGTTGGTGGGAGGGAGTATGTCTTGTCAATACAGTGCAATAAATAATTGGGTGACGTGTGTACTGGGGATCCATGGGAGTCCAGGAAGCTGTCACCTAGCCTGGCCTGAATGAGTCAAGGAGGACTTTCTAGAGAGTTGCTAGCTGAGATTATTCTTTTTTTTTTTTTTTTTTTATTTTTTTTCAACGTTTATTTATTTTTTTGGGATAGAGAGAGACAGAGCATGAACGGGGGGAGGGCAAGAGAGAGGGAGACAAGAACTGACAGGCTCCAGGCTCTGTACCAGCCCAGAGCCCGTGACGCTGGCGGCTCGAACTCCAGGACAGCGAGATCGCGGACTCATACAATGGATGCTAACCCATCAGCTACCCAGGCGCCCCTAGCTGAGATTATTCTTGAAGGATGAGTGGGAGTTATGTGGCGGTCACTATAGGCACAACCCAGCTTACCAGGTCATGAAACAATATGACCTGAAAGAGAAAATACATAAAATAGTTCAGTATTACTGAAACCGAAAGTGTGAGGTCAACAGAGGCTATAAAGGAAGCAGTGAGGGCAGGGTCACCTAGGACCTGTAAGTATACTGCAGGCCAGAGGAATCACTCAAGCCAGTTGGTCAAGGGTAGAAACTTGATCAGATTTACATTCCAATTAGGTTATCAGGCAACCAGGTGGGGGAGGGACTTGAACCAAAGCCAAAGGTCAAGAGACTGGCTTGGAAGCAGTTGAATGAACACCTGAAGCTGAGAAGATAAATTGGGGAAAGAAAAAAACAACATGTATTTGAAGATTTCTTAATAGATTAAAAATGATTTATTATAAAAAGACTATGGAGGGAGGGGCACCTGGGTGGCTCAGTGGGTTGAGCCTCTGACTCTTAATCTGGCTCCCTTTCCCCCTCTCCCCATCTCCCTCACTTGTGCTCTCTCTCTCAAAACAAAAATAAAATAAGAAATAAGAAGATAAAATGACTGTGGGTAATGAGATAAGGAAGAGAAGAAATCTATGATGGCCTTCAAGTTCTTGGCTTTGGTGGCTAGGCAGATGGTAGGGAATATCTTGAACTAGTTTATTGAATATTCTAGATGGGAAGCATGGCTTTTTATTTATCCTTGACTGAAGAATGGCTCTTCTTTATTTTGTAAAGACTATCCTTTCTAATTTGTAATGGATTTATGGGGAAATAAGGACCAGCCCAGCCAATTAGTCAACTGAATCAACCCTAGGCCTTGCTTCACATCTGAGATTGAACTTGTGAATGGGAAAAGTCTGCATGTGTGATAATGGGTTCAGTTTTGTATCTGTTGGGTTAG